GTCCTAATCTGAAACTTCCTTCACCCTTTCTCTCTTCTTTCTTCTTTTCCTATGTAGGACAAAAAGGAAGTAAAGAACTCCACTGACCTGTTAGTGGAAAATTCATCTCTGACACCAAGCTTCAAAACTTTGTAATTTTTTTTTAATTTTTATTTATTTATTTATGATAGTCACAGAGAGAGAGAGAGAGAGAGAGAGGCGCAGAGACACAGGCAGAGGGAGAAGCAGGCTCCATGCACCGGGAGCCCGACGTGGGATTCGATCCTGGGTCTCCAGGATCGCGCCCTGGGCCAAAGGCAGGCGCCAAACCACTGCGCCACCCAGGGATCCCCCAAGCTTCAAAACTTTGAATGAAAAAAAAGCAGCTGGGATCCCTGGGTGGCGCAGCGGTTTAGCGCCTGCCTTTGGCCCAGGGTGAGATCCTGGAGACCCAGGATCGAATCCCACGTCGGGCTCCCGGTGCATGGAGCCTGCTTCTCCCTCTGCCTGTGTCTCTGCTCTCTCTCTCTCTGTGACTATCATAAATAAATAAAAATTAAAAAAAAAAAAGAAAAGCAGTGTCATATAGAGTGGTTAGGTTCTAGTTAGCAATGGAAGGTATGCTTTCATTATGGCTGAACAGGGTTTTTATAAGCCAAGCTGATAATTCATTACAATCAACTGATAAAGGAACTTTTATAACACAATCCTAACTGGTGAACACCTGCATTATACTTTCTTATTCAAACCACAGCAGAACTCCTGTTCGCAGAAATGAAGAAGCCAAGGCTGATAGACAAGAGACTGAGCCTTTTAAGGTCTTTCAAAGTACTATAGAGAACTTGAAACCTTAACTATCTGGGAACTTTTCTCTGAGCCTCAGATAGAACACTGCTGTGTCCTGAGGAACTCTGTATTCCAAACATTAGAATCTGGCTATGAGCCCAACTCATCTAATTCTGTTGTTGTGAACTCTATCAATAGGGCAGCCTCACACCACCAAGTTTCCTTAGAATGACATAATTAGACCCATCGGGTATATTATTTCCTTTTAACACTAAGTATAAAGACTCCCTATTACTTGTCATAGCAAATTAAAAAAAAACACTACTCTAATCCTTCTGTCAATTTCCCCATTTAATTTCTCTACTCTAGATAGACACCCCCATATCTGTGTTCTTCATCCCATAGCACATGACAGCATATCCATTTCTGCCTTCTGATTCTTTTTCTTTTTAAAGATTTTATTTATTTATCCATGAGAGACACACACTGAGAGAGAAAGAGGGAGAGAGAGAAGCAGAGACAGAAGCAGGCTCCATGCCGGGAGCCCGATGTGAGACTCGATCCCGGGACTCCAGGATCACGCCCTGGGCCAAAGGCAGATGCTCAACCGCTGAGCCACCCAAGTGTCCCCTGCTGTCTGATTCTATCCAGGCTGTTCTTCCCACATTTTGCCATCAAAACTGATCTTGAAACTTTTCCACCAGAAAGTTTTTAAATGATGGAATTATCAGGGATTCCTGAATGGCTCAGTGGTTTATCGCCTGCCTTTGGCTCAGGGCTTGATCCTGGAGTCCCGGGATCGAATCCCACCTTGGGCTCCCTGCATGGAGCCTGCTTCTCCCTCTGCCTGTGTCTCTGCCTCTCTCTCTCTCTTTTTCTCTCACTGTGTCTCTCATGAATAAATAAATAAAATCTCCCACTCATATTATATTCCCCAAATGGATTTTAAAATGAGTGGGAAATATCTCCCACACATTTCTTCTCCCTTCCCTAATGTGTGGGAGATATCAGAAAGGGACACAGAACATAAAGACCTCTAACTCTGGGAAATGAACTAGGGGTGGTGGAAGGGGAGGAGGGCGGGGGGTGGGGGTGAATGGGTGACGGGCACGGAGGGGGACACTTGACGGGATGAGCACTGGGTGTTATTCTGTATGTTGGTAAATTGAACACCAATAAAAATTAATTTATTAAAAAAAAAACAGACACATAGATCAACAAAATTGATAGAATAAAGAGCCAGGAACAAAAAAAAAAAATAAAATAAAATAAAATGAGTGGGAAATATCAGAAAGGGAGACAGAACATGAGAGACTCCTAACTCTGGGAAACAAACAAGGGGTGGCGGAAAGGGAGGTGGGGTGTGTGTGTGTGTGTGTGTGTGTGTGACTGGGCGACGGGCACTGAGGGGGGCACTTGATGGGATGAGCACTGGGTGTTATTCTATATGTTGGCAAATTGAACAATAATAAATAAATAAATAAATAAATAAATAAATAAATAAATAAATAAAATCTTTAAAAAAAAAAGATGGAATTATCTACCTGCTGCTCACCTCATACTTAATTATTCTACCTTGTAACATTATATAGGAGTTTGGACTTGTCCATACATTACTATGAAAAGTAAGGTACTATTCTGGTGCACCAGGTTATAAGTCTAAGGCCAGGGCTGTATTCCTAACTTTGCCTTTTGGCTCACTTAATACCCTTGAACCCATGCTGAGATAATACCTATACTTCAGTTTGTTGAGGCATGTCAAAGCATAATATAGAGGTATTTTACTTATTTTCTCCCTGTGATATTTAAGGCAAGGTTCTGACATAAAGCACATGTTTACTAAATACTATCATACCATTAGGCCAAAGCCTATTTTTGCCTCCCCTCACCGCCTACGTTTTTTTTTTTTTTTTTTTTTTTTTTTTTTTTTTTTTTTTAAGAATACAATCTTACACTGATTTGTTTCCCAAAGAAGAAGAGAGGAGGGTCTGGGCTACCTCTTCCATCTATCAATGTGCCAACTCTCTCCAAATATCCTTTCGAAGTAAAGTCAGATTTAGGTGCTTGGTTAAGTTGAATGTAATATTGTGTGGAAGAGGCAATGTAAGTGTTCATTAGACCTCATTTCCTTTTTTACTAGACACAAGCATTTATTTTACTTCCCAGCCACCCCTGCAGTCAGGCGGGATATGCTACTACACATCTGAATTCAGACTAAGGGAATGGGGTAAAAATTATGTACCCCACTTCCAGGGTTGGCCCCTGATATCTCCAACAAGTCCACCACAGTTCTCCTCCCTTATCTGAGGCACATAGATCGGATGATTCCAAGGCAACTGGTGATGGTGGAGCCACAAGATAGAAGCCATGTCCATCCACAATTGCAAGGAGCAGATACCCCACCCACCGGTCCCAACTAACCCACTATACAGGGACTTGTATGAAGCATACGCCGCTATTGTGTTAAACCACTGAGATACTGGTCTCCTTGGCCTACCCTGATTAACACACCTTATATTTAACAACAGTGGTCACATACATGAGAAGAACCCACAGACTTAGTTCCAGGACCTGAGATATAAATCCCGGCTGTACCCCTCTCCGCATATATTCTATGATTGGCTCCAAACTATGCTCTGTACCCTTTACCACTTGCATGTCTAGCACATTCTCTTCTTTCTTTTTTGGAGCCCTCTCCACTCTCCTCTGCCTCAAGACTTCTGTGAGGCACTCTCTGACTTCCCTCCCATGCGTAGGTCTTTGTTCCTAGTGCAGGGTCTATCCCGCCATTTTAGCATCTATTACATTTGATTGCAAATATTTGTTGAGCTTGGGTTTCCAAAGACTGAGTCCTTGAATCCACAGACAATTCCTTTGGGATCTCTGACTGCCAGCATTTAGTCATGGTGCCTGGCACATAGCAAAAATAAATAAATACATACATACATAAATACACAAATAAATAAAATAATAATAAATATATATTAAAGGAATGGTTGTCACTTTATGACCTTAAGTGAGTCCCTTATTTTTGAACTCAAAAATTTTACCGAATTTGATGATGATAATGATATAATGAAATCATTATAATGATTGATTGTGAATCAATGTGATAATGAAATAATGTGATTTGTAGATTCTAAACAGATGCTAATGGTAACATGGTTTATTGTATTCTGTAGTCCCTTCTCATTTTTTTTTTCAGTCAAATTCACCTTAATGCTTCAAGGAAGCTCTGTCCAATAGAAAAATAATGCAAGCCACATATATAATCTAATAATCTTAGTAGCCATATTTAAAAACTGCAACGAAGGGATCCCTGGGTGGCGCAGCGGTTTGGCGCCTGCCTTTGGCCCAGGGCGCGATCCTGGAGACCCGGGATCGAATCCCACGTCGGGCTCCCGGTGCATGGAGCCTGCTTCTCCCTCCTCCTGTGTCTCTGCCTCTCTCTCTCTCCTCTCTTTCTCTGTGACTATCATAAATAAATTAATTAAATTTTAAAAAATAATAACAAAAAGTGCAAAGAAGTAGGTGAAATCCGTTTTCACGAGGGACTTAACCCCTGACGCCTGGGCCACCGGGGCTGCGGGAGCCGGCGCACGCCCCCCCACAGCCCGGCTCCGGGCCCGCGCGACGCCCTCCGACGCTCGGCGGCAGGACGGCCTCGCTCCCTCCCTCCCTCCCTCCCTCCCTCAGCGCCCTCGCAGGCGCCGCGAGCCGCCGTCGGGACGCCCCGAAGTCCAGCTCTGAGGAGTCCACCCCGTCGCCTGGGATTCGCTCTCGCAGCGACTGTCCGGCTTAGGGCGAGCGGTTACTAGATGTCGGGTAACTCCGGCTCCGGTGCGCGGAGGCCGGTGGGAGGCCGAGTGCCGGGATCGGAGCTGGTCAGTCAGCGCGCGCGCGGGCGGCGGGCGGCGCCGAAGGCGGGATCCCGACGCCTGGGCCCGCGGCGTCCTCGGCGGGCGGCGCCGAGGCCCGGGCTGGGCGGGCAGGGCCGCGGGGACGGCGGGGACCGTGGGGACCGCGGCCCGCCCCCTCCCCCTCCCCCACGCCGCCGCCGCCGCCGCCGCCGCCGCCGCCGAGCCCCGGAAGCGGGCGGGGATTTCCTGTGCCCGCCCCGCCCGCGCCCGCCCGCGCCCGCCCGGCCGCCGTCCCCGCCCGTCGCTGGCTCCGCGGCCGCCGGCTCCCACCACGCGGAGGGCGGAGGGCGGAGGGCGGAGGGCGGAGGGCGGAGGGGAGGGGCAGGCGGCGCCCAGAAGGGAGGCGCGGGCCGCAGGCCAAGCCGACCGGGGTGAGTGGGGCCGGGCCGCAGGGCGTCGCGGCTGGAGGGAGGGACGAAGTCGCTTCCCGGGGCGGCGGGCGGGGGGCCCGGTCACCCCCCCACGCGGCGCCGGGAGGACCGACGCGGCCTGCGGGTCGCTCGCCTTAACCGGGTCGGCCCCGCTGTCATCGCGGGCCCGCCCCGCGCCCTGGCTTCCCCGTCCCCGGCGTCGCTGACAGGCCCCGCGGGTTCCCGCCGCGGGCTCCTTTCTCCTGACCTGCTCCTGCCCCGGTTCCCGGGAAACCTGTTTTCTGACCTCACCTCCCCTGCCCTAGCTCTGCCTCCCTCGGATTCTCTGAAATCTGACCCTGCCCAGGGGCGCTGTGACAAGAAGAGGGGAAGAAGCCACCTTACTCCGGAGCAGGCACCCGTCCCGCCCAGCCCCACCCGGGGCACAGGGCACGGTTCTCCGGCGGAGCGCGACTCGTCCCTGTGCCCTTGGGCTTCTCATGTCACACACCCCCTGGGCCCTGTCCAACAGCTGCCGCTGCGCAAACTTCCTCCTGCAGGTGCCTTGACCCCCGGATATGTGAGGAAAAGTGGGAAACGGAAGCCCTAGGAGCCGGACTCCGGTAGGCCTGGGAACATCCTGGAGCCAGGGGAACCCTGATTAGGCTGACACCCGTGACGGCCCGGGTTCTGGCTCCGAGGAGAGCGTGAACATCTTAGGACACGCTGTGTGAGGAGAAGTCCCCACCCCCTTGTGCCCTTGTGGCTGAGATTTTTGCCAGCACTTCCACAGGTTTTCTGTCGGTGGCCTGGAGAGGCTCGCAGCGAGCCCTGTAGGCTCCGCAGAAAGCAGCTTCCCATCCAGGGACGGTGCTGCTGGGGAGATGGACAACTGAGTCTGAGACAGGTGTCCAGACTTTAACTGTAGGTAAAGCCCCGAGGGAGGAGTTCAAAGGGAGCTTGAGAAACAAAGAAGAAAGACCTCCAGGGAAGACAGGGGAATTGGTGCCTTATATGTTAAAAGCGAAGCAAACACAGGGGTTGGAAATCAGAAGAGAGCGCTAAAATGGAAGTTTCCCTTTATTGCTTTACTGCGAATTTTCCTTTCTCATGAGAAGTCTCTGAAAAGGAAACCTCCTAAGCTGGGAATCAGTCCAGGAGGCTCCCATGAGGCCCCGAGACTTCTTTGGACTTCTGAGATGAAAGCATAATTTGTTCCCTTCCTGTGCATTGGGCTTAGGGTTGCCACCTACCTCTTTTTGTCAAAGACAAATAGGCAAGAAAATCAACAACTTGACATCGGTCATTGACCTGTCGTGGGCTTCTGGGTTCTTGCAAGTGTTAATGAATAGATATGAGTGATGAGCCAGGATAGTTAACCGAGGTTCTGACTTGTTTTTGGAAGGTTTTCACTAGCTCTGACTGCTTGAGTACTGAATAAAAATCACACGCGCGCGCACACACACACACACACACACACACACACACAAAAGATGTTGCCACGCAGAAAGGACTCTGTGCAGTCTCATAGACTGTTTCTCTGCCAGAAGTCAAGGAAGTCCCCTTGTCACAACACATGAGACCTGTTCTGACTCCAAGATGTCCGGAGAAGAAAAAGCCCACAACCTGGTCCCGTGCACTACAGGATTATTGTTAAGAATTTTTTTTTTTTTTTTTTTAATCTAGGGATGCCTCAGTGGCTTGGTCGGTTAAGCATCTGCCTCTGGCTCAGATCATGATCCTGGGGTCTGGGATTGAAACCCATCTCGATCTCCTTGCTGAGCAGGGAGTCTGCTTCTCCCTGTCCCACACCCCCCCCCCCACTGTACTCTCAGTCTCTTTCAAATAACTAAATAAAATATCTTAAAAAAATGTTTTTTGTATAACCTAAATCTCTTCTCTGGCAATCAAGAGAATAAATAGATCTATAAAGAGATATAAACCATTTCTTGTTCTTAGTAGCATCATTTATCAGCTTTTTTCCCTAGACAGGAGAAAATTATGTCTTTTGTTTTTAACTTGTCCCCAATGGCCATGTTTCCCATCCCTTTCTCCACTTTTATTTCTTCTGATGAACCATACTGGTTTCTGGTTTCTTCATACCCTTCTTTAAAACTGAATATATTTTTCTAATGAGATCTGACTGGTTCTTTCCTATGTCTCGGGTTCTTTCCTATGTCTCAGCTCACAGGACTGTTAATTCACACACAGAGGTCATGTTAGCATCAGTTACTTCCCCTTTATCCACTCTGGTTCAAATGCTTTCTTTTCCTTTATACTTTTCCCAATTAGACATCAACTCCTTACTGACCAACAATTTCTCCTGTTAGGGTTGCTTTGGAGTTTTACACATGCTTTCTGAGTTATTGGTCTTTCTACCACATTTATTATCAGTTCTTATTTTCTGCATCAGAGTGCCAGGTTGTGTCTCTTTGTTGAGGCTTAAGTGAGGTGTCATTTGGTTCAGTCTTATAAAGGGGATGTGTGCTCCTTGTACACACACACACACACACCTTTGGCTAGGACTTCTATCTATAGTAATCATTTCATTCTGAACTAATTGATGAGATTTGTGGCAGAAAATCTTCTATGTGATTATATCCATTTTTGTTGAGTGTAAATCCGTGCACATTCCATTCCTACATGTGTCCAGATTACTTACTTTATTGTATTTTGAGTGGTTGAAATTAAATGAATACCTTTTGAATTTCCAGGATTGATCTTAAAAAAAAAATTAAGTTCTTCCAGCCATCAAGAGTATTCTGTTTCTGCCATGAGGTCCCCAGAATAACTGTTAGTGACTTTGCTATTTAGCACCTGCTCATTTCTTAGTTCCTCCAAGAAGCTTGGCCCAGGGTCAGTTGATTGGAACACACCAAACTTTAAAGTTCATCTTCCATCAAGCTCCCCTTATCTGGTTTCATCTTTTATCCCTCAGGCTGTTCTCCGTAACTCCCTTAGGAATATCACCTCTTTCCATTTTTAATGGGCACAGCTGATAATGAATTTGTTCCAGGTCACAATTTGGGTTTGCAGCAAAAATGCTTTCAGAACAGACAGCAGTCCTGGGTACAGGATGGGAGTCCATGAATGTCCAGCTGGATGGAGCAGAGCCTCAGGTGGAAAGGGGAAGCCAAGAAGAGGGGCCATGGAGAACAGCACCAGGGCCACTGGAGCACCTGTGCTGTGACCTTGAAGAGGATCCACAGTCCCTTCAGGAGAAGGGTGAGAGCCTGGAGTGTATATGTGTGTTTGAGTACTGTAACCAGTACCAGGACTAGTCTATTCTTCTTGGGCTCTGATCACAGGAATATAAGGAGTTCCTGGGTTCTGTAAACCATGAAACTGCACTTCTCCTATTTCTTGCATAATCACTCCCTTCACATGCTGCAAGTGCGTGGTTAGTGGTATTGAATGTGGGAGACAAAGGAAGTGACTATTACTATTACTATTACTGTTGAGAACACATCCAGTAAGATGCACTTTACTAGGTGAAAATTACATTCAAATAATATAAATTCAAACCACAACTAGTCTAGTGGAGATGGCTGACATATAAGCTTTACTAAAAACCACTTAACACCTTTGCAAAATATGTTAAGTGGAGATCTCTTCCACTCTATGTATGCATTTGAATGTTACCAATGGATACAGATTCAAGAAAATGTGACCCTTAAGTTCCTCTGACATGGTGTCCATTGCGCCCTTATTGGGAAAGGGTGGATGGTCCATCTCTAGTGGTTCCTCTTTTTTCTCTCCAGCTCAGTCAGCTCCCTGGGTTCCTGCCATTCCCCAGGAGGGGAGCACCGGAGATTGGGAGATGGCAGCTGCACTTCTTGCAGCAGGATCACAGGTGGGCTGTTTTCCTTGGCCTCTCCCAGGGTCTCATCACTGCTACCTCTCTGTAGGCTCACCATCATCCTATTGATTTCTTATCTCACATGATCACTAATGGTATCTTCATCTTATAACTGGACAGATTCTTTCCCCTTCCAAAGGGCTCATAATACCCTTGAATAAATGAGTGAAGGCATGACAAGAAGAGGGAAATTCTTAGAGGTTAAGTTGTTTTTAATGGATGGCTGTGCCATTCCTATATGGATTTTAAGAACAATTTATTAATGTTCTTTAAGAAAAAAATCTGGAAAGACTAGGAAAAGAGGACCTGAGGGAAGCTTGATAGAACATAAAGTAGGCAGGACTGGGTGGGTAATGGAGCATATGGAAAAGGAGAGAAGATAGAAAGATGTAAAGAGGGGCAGAGCCAGAGAGAGAAAATAGGTTTAGATTCAGGAGGCAATAGGAAACTCATGGAAAGATAATAATAGTAGTAGTAGCTATACTCCCAGAGTGCTTACCATGCTTGTGTCTCTCTGAATGCTTTATGTATATTAACCCATTTAACTCTGAGAGAAAACCAAATATGCTCATTTTACACGTGAGAAAATAGGGTAGGAAGAGATTAGGGCACTTGTGTAAGGACAAAACTGCTAATAAATGGCAGAGCTAGGAGTCATTTGGCTTGAGAATCCTAACCACTATACTATATACTGTCTCCAAAGATAAAGATATGGCATGATGGGTAGAGATCAAAAAAGAATGTTTCATCTATATGATTTTGTACTGATAGAAAAGGAAAGGTCAAGTGGAGGAAGAGGAAGCTAGTACCCAGTTTCTGCAATGAAAAGAACGAGGCAAGTGAGGTGAGACTGGGCAGACATCTGTAGTTAATCAGAGGGAGTAATGAGTTCATGGTGCCTCCAACTTCATGGTTCCAGTGGGAAACTCCTCAAGAGACATTATCCTTCTCACTCACTCACCATTACTTTCGCCCCTCTGCTCCATTTATCTCTCACCAAAACTATTTGCCTTACCCAAAGACTTCTGGGGGAATTCTTTCCCTAAATGCTCTCATGCCCTCTCTTCTGCTACTTCAGCTTTTTATACTGGGATCACATTTTCCTTAAGGAACAATTACTAACAGATGATGCTACATTTTGTTTCAGGGCCTGGTAACCATCAAGGATGTGTCCTTGTGCTTCTCTCAGGAAGAATGGCGGAGCCTGGACCCTTCTCAGACAGACTTTTATGGAGAATATGTCATGCAGGAAAACTGTGGGATAGTGGTCTCTCTAAGTAAGCATGATCTTCCCTAGCCACTTTTAAAAGATTATACTCTGGGAAGATGGGGCCATCTGCTCCAGAGCTATCAGATAGTCTATCTAGGGTTCTTTCCTTGGCTGGAAGTCTGTCTACACTTTTACCAGAGAAAGAGCATTAGGGCTAATCCAAAGAGAATAGAAATGAGGTGTCATTTCTTAAAAACAACAGCAAAATAATGCTGAATTGTGGAGAACTTTGGGCTCTTCTTGGTTGGGAATTAAGAGGGAGAAGGACATTTAAGTGATAGAACTGAGTCCTTGGAAACTCAGCAAGCCATCTAGGGTAAAATGGGAGTGGAGGTAGGACAGCTGTAGTAAGGCTAATTAAGTAAAGTTAAGGACAGGTGGGCTGGAAGTATTTGAAATCTGAGTGGAAGAGAACAGACACACTAGGGAAGAGAATATGACTTTCTAAAAGAAAGAAGAGGAACATAACAAATGGGGACAGGAGAGAGGCCTATATCTGACCTTCTTTTATCTCCAGTTCCAAGGAATAATCTAGGAAACAGCTTTTTTTCAGAAATAGAAAATTACAGTTGAACTCACTGACATCTCTGTTTTCCTTTCCCATGGACAGGATTTCCAATTCCCAAACTGGACATGCTTTCTCAACTAGAAGGAGGGGAAGAACAATGGGTCCCTGACCCCCAGGACTTGGAGGAGAGGGACATCCTAAGGGTCACATACACAGGTAAACACCTAGAATACACTTTCAGCCACTGCCTTCAGCCCTCGTGGAGTGTCATCATTATGTGTCCATCCAATCCCTCCTCCACTCAGTGAGTTACAGAGTCAAAAAAGTTGAGATCTTTTTCTTCAAAGGCAAGACAGTGTAGCAGAAAGGTTTAGAAGGCAGGCTCTAAAACCAGACTTTGTGGATTTGAATCCAGGACCACACCTGGGAATCTTGGAAATGTAATTAGCTCGCATTTGGGTTCCTCATTGGTAAATTATCGAGAGACTTAAATATGTTAACAGAATAGAACAGTACCAGGCACATAATAAGCACTCAATAAATGTTAGTTGTTGTTGTTATTGATGTTATTATTCAACATCCCACTCATTGTGGAGATGCTTTCCAGGGTGCCTCTAGTATTGCTGACAGATGGTCACTCAGCCCATGGAGATTGCAGCACATTTCTTAACTCTTTCCATCTATGCTTAGACAGGAAGATGGAAGTAATTTAAATAAATAAAATAAATAAATAAATAAATAAATAAATAAATAACAATAGCATAGACCATTTACTAAATGCTCACTATGTGCAGGTATTATACTGTCTGTCTTATAACATCTATCTTATGATCATTGCCATTTTACAGAAGAGAAAAGGCTTACAGAAGCTAAGTGGGAAAGCTCTGAGATTCAAAATTGGGGAATCTGCCTCCTAAGCCTAGGCTTTTAACTTCTACACTTCTTGCACTGTCTTGAACAATATTAGAATCTGTTCTTCCAGCCTTTGTGGGGTAAGGTTTAGGCCCTAACAGGAATCAGACAACCTCACCTGTGACTTGGGTCCTAGGGTACTCTCTTGTGACTCCCCTCTTGGGGTTGGTATTTTCCCTTCTCCACAGGAGATGGAAGTGAGCACGAGGGTGATACCCCTGAACTAGAAGCAGAACCTCCCAGAATGTTATCTAGTGTGTCTGAAGATACTGTTCTCTGGAACCCAGAGCAGGATGAGAGCTGGGATTCCATGCCCAGGGGCTCCAGAGGAATGCTCCTGGGCCCACCTTTTCTTCAGGAAGATAGCTTCTCAAACCTTCTATGTAGCACAGAGATGGATTCCCTGTTAAGACCTCACACATGCCCCCAGTGTGGGAAACAGTTTGTGTGGGGCTCCCACCTTGCCAGGCACCAGCAAACACACACTGGGGAGCGGCCCTATAGCTGCCTCAAGTGTGAAAAGAGCTTCGGGCGAAGACACCATCTGATCCGGCACCAGAAAACACACCTACATGACAAGCCCAGCAGGTGCTCTGAGTGTGGCAAGAATTTCCGATGCAACTCCCATCTGGCCAGCCACCAGAGAGTGCATGCAGAAGGCAAGTCCTGCAAGGGCCAAGAGGTTGGAGAGAGCCCGGGGGCTAGGAAACGGCAGCGTGCCCCCCCAGTGCCAAAGTGCCATGTGTGCACTGAGTGTGGGAAGAGCTTTGGCCGACGGCACCACCTGGTGAGACACTGGCTGACCCATACTGGGGAGAAGCCCTTCCAGTGCCCTCGCTGTGAAAAGAGCTTTGGCCGTAAACATCACCTGGACAGGCACCTGTTGACCCACCAGGGACAAAGTCCCCGGAGCAGCTGGGACAGAGGGACATCTATCTTTTGAAATCTGTTTCTGCTGCAGCTGTGGTCACATCTATCAGCAGCTGGTGCTACCAGGAGTCTCTGCCAGAACTGCCCCTCTCCTGCACCCCAGTAGCCAGAATCATGAACCCTGACTCCATCCTTAGAAAGATGAGGTTCCAACATTGGCCAAACATTTCTCACCAGTTCTATGAGATTCCACATAAAATGGAGTTCTTTGGGCAAAACTTTTAGGAAACGATGCTGATATTCAGCCGAAGCCCATTCTCAAGGGTACCACTTGAGAATCATCAGTTTATGGCTGCGGTCCATCCTGAGTGGTTGGAGCCTATGCCGTACCAGTTGAATATTTGAATAACACCTTTGTATACTGTAACTATTATATCCTCTCTGTATATAGAGAGAAAGACCATATTAGCAGATTGAAGGCTCTGAGAACTTATGTGTGCAAAGACTTGTCAGGGCTCTTTTACTGCAGTGTTTCCTAAATGTGTTTGACCTCAGAGTCCTTGCTATCTCACCTCCCGCAGAACTGGTGACTCCATGAAACACACTCTGGTGAACACTGGGTTAGGGAGTAATGAGGAAACGAGAAAGAGATAGTGATCAGGCACCCAGAGTTCTCCTTTTCTATCCAGATGAAAGCTGAGGGGCAGACCTCATTCCTGTGTGGGTCTATCATCCTTACCCTGATCATCCAAATATACATCACACCTCTTACCCCCACCTATTGACAAATAGAAACAAGAACCTTTTCACTCCCTTATTCAGACTCCCTTCATCTTCCTCATACATATATCCAGCTGAGGGAATCACGCTACAATGCTGAGATGGACGTACACTCCCAAAGGAACCCAGGCCCACACAGAAGAAAAAAACTTTATCCCCTTGAACAGACCCCTCTCCTCTTGACTGTGTCTTTATGTGTCTATGTGTATCTGTGTGCAGGGTCTTTGAAGAGAGCATGCAATGTGCAAACTGTACAAGCTAGATTTTCTAGGGGCTGTTTTCTGGGGGTGAGGGTAGTAGGGATTGTATGGGATTTTTTTGTTTTGTTTCAAGATAGGAAGTAAACTGAGAGATTAAGGGAGCCCTCATGGAAAGGATTAAGTGATGGGTTAAGTTGTGGGAGTTGAGGTATAAAGCTTTCCCCTGTATTACTGAGATCAAGACAACTGTGGATATATATGTATAGGTCTGAATCTCTGGGCCACAGATTCTTTTTGCCTAGGAGGAGAGAGAAAGACAGACACATCCTCAGTGAGGTGAGCTGTTTCTTGTTGATTTCAAGTAAGGTGCATATAGAAGCTTTGTGCTGAGTGGGTTTCTTTGTCTTGTTTTAGTGCTGGAAAATTAGGACAGGAATCACAGTGCTTGCAGGTTGTTGTCATCACTCTTATTTGACCTTGATTGCCTCATCAAGGAGACAGTTTTTCTTAAGGATTTCATTCTCCCAGAAACGGAACATTAGGGAAAATGGCTATGGTTTAGCTTTTCAGCTGATGTGGTGGGAAGGTAGTGCATTGGGTTTTCTTCCCAGTTCTGGGTAGGTATCCACACTAAGACTCTTAACTCCAGGACTTGCATAAGTATTCTAGCATCTATTGGTTGATGAGTTGGTCATTGTTTTGCCTTATTGATAATGTGTTAATACCAATCATATAATTTAAAAATTATCTTGTATGTAAGAGCAGTTTGGGGTTAGGGAGGAGAGGAGCAAAGCAGATAAAAGTGGGATAATTTCTCTTTAAATGCTTACATTCTGGTTTTTCCTTAACATACTTATTTCTTAACCACAATTTGGTGGAATTAACCAGAGAGGCAAAAGGAAGTAAGCTGCAACAATCTAGTTTAGTGATTATCCCATTTGCTTAGGGAAAACTGGGTGAATCACAGCTCCTCAGAGTTCTGGACCTAAATAGAGCTGAAAATAGGGTCATTTTGTTGACCGGGCTTCTTAGAGTGGATATGAGTTGAGCAACCCAGCTGCCACCTCCCTTTTGCCGCACAGAGGAGCCTTTCTTCTTTGCCTGGGATGCACTTCTCTTGCTTAGGTTCCTACGAATAGAGCAAAATGACCAGCCCTTTTTAAGGTCCTCAGAAATAGGAGCATTTTAGGATTAATATTAGGAGGTACCCCAGGGAATAGGAGAGTATTGGATTCCAGTGGTAAAACTGGACTATGCCATTTCTTTTACCCTTCCACTATGCCTCATTCATTAATGCAGATCAGCTTTATGTAAGCAGGGGTTCAGAACCTGTTTTAGATCAGAGACCCTTACGAAACTCTGATAAAAATCAGAAGCTCACTTTTAAGAAAAACGGGCATTAGAAATTCACTCTGTTTTATATACACATTTAGCAGGTTCAGAGCCCATCCATGGAATCACTAAACCGGGGTCATAGGGAGTTACTCTGACCCAACATGGTCATTTATATATTTTTGTCAAGAATTACAAGGCAAGGATCACTAAATATTTTAAGGACTAAGATATCAGAGGCAGTAGGGTATAAAGACAGAGTCTAGTCTTTAATGACTAGGAGAGTATTGCTGACATTCTACTCTGTTTTTTGTTTGTTTGTTGTTGTTTTTTTTTTTTAAAGATGACATGCTGACAAATTGAGCTCCTCACAAACCTTGTTTTAAAGACTTGTGGGAAGTGACTCTCTACTGTCAGATCACACATCTTAATAACCAAATGTTAACTTCCAGCAATTGGTCTGTTTTAGTAATTATAAGGATAGCAAGAGAAGTCCCCAAAGTGTGGGTGCAGCCATAGCATCCAAACGAAAGGCATAATAGAGTCTAAGAGCTTTCTGCAGAAAGGACGTCCCTTTAGGTCATTTCTGGTACACCACTGTCTTCTCTACCTCGGTCCAACACCACTTCCCTTGGACGAAAAATAAAATAAGCAACAGCCATTAGATGGGTGAATAGATTTGGAAGATTTTTCCCACAGGGAATCAGCTTCAAACTCCCATCTTTCTCCTAGCTGGCTTTGCCACGTGTCCACCCTATCCCCTTTAAATAAAAAAAACAAAAACAAAAACAAAAAACCAAACACACAACTGTGTCTGTGTTCTCTCTGGACAAATGTAAATTGGGGAAGTCCATCTTTAGAAACCTATCACCTTTTCCTTCTGTGGTGCCTTTACCCTGTTCAGGGCCGAATATTCTTCCCTTTTTATCCCATCAAAGTATCTCTGCAAAGAATCCCTTATACCAGATAATATAACTCAAAGTGTTAGCTCTTCCCAGAGTTACTTACATTTCAAGCCTTAACTCTGATAGAAGTGAAGGAAAAATTTTTCCCTTGTCAAAATGATGTTATATCTTCAGGGAGCTAAAAGGGTAATAATTTGTGACAAAATCCTTTCCTTTCCTACACTTCTGGACTCAAACCACTGTTTCCTTATTTCCATTAAGGGCAAGGTGAGCCCTTACTCAGAACCAGAAATGCCAGAAGACGTGTGTTCTTTCCACCTCTCTTCAGATGAGTGCACTGGACAGGGATGAGTGGGGCTAGGTAGTAACAGAAATCTATTCCTTTAGAGTCTTTAGTGATCCTGAGCTGACAAAATTTCCTGGAGTGCTATATTAGATCTTAGGTCTCAAAATGTGGTCTCTGAACCGGCAGCATCAACATCACCTGAGAACTTGTTTTAGAAATGCAAATTCTCAGGCTCTACCCCAAACAAACTGAATCAGAAATTCTGGGAGTAGAGCCCAGGAATCAGTCTTCACTTGCCTTCCAGAATATCTGATGTATGCCAAAGTTTGAGAATCACTGCTAGGAGATTCAAATTCCACTTCAATCAGTAGTACCTTATCCTATTCAAATTGGGAGGGGAATCTTTGTGTTCCTGTTGTCAGGTTTATTTTCTGCAAGGCTAGTTTCTCCTCTGTTCTGGTTCACTTGAGTCCCCACCCTTAAATCTGTGAAAGGACTGGGTTAGTCAACAATTTTAGAAACCATGGTAGGGCACCTACCTAGCTGTTGTGACTGACTGGGGCTAGAGCTTCTACAGTGGACATAGAGGGTTCATAGGTACAGAAATCTGAAGGACCAAAAAGGAGCAGACACCTCAAAGAAGGGAAATCCAATGTAAAACTGAAAAACCAACATCCAAGGAAATAGTCCTCGTGTGCTAGTTACTTGCTCCTTCTCAAGGTCTAATAAGTTGGTCTGGAGGCATGCAAGGTGAACATTTAGCACAGAATAGAGAGTAAGGCCAGCTCTCCCCAGCTCTTAAGGCACCAAGTTTTCCAGCCTCATAATTGTATTGGAGACAATGAGGTACCATGAAAGGGATTCCCAACTATGATTTGACCTACCCTATGGGCAAGAGCAACAGAAGCATTGGAGAGTCCCCAGGACACAAGAGACAACCAGGCTCATTTAGTAATATGTGACACAAGTGAGATTTGAACCCAGAGTCTATTTACCAGGTAGAGTCATAATCAATTAAACCATAGCACCTATGTCAAAAATGCATTTCCTGCTTTGAAGACTGTCCAGTTCAGGCTGCAGGAAGGAACCTGTCTTGCAGGCCCTGGTTCTGTTACCTTCTCTAGCTCCTCTCCTAACCAAATCCATGAGGACATACTGAAATGATATTTACAAACCTACCACCTCTGGAGCTCTCCCAAAGTCAAAAGGTTGGAGTTTGGGGAGGTGATCAGCCCCTCTCCCCAAGGTGGAGAAGCTTGGCTACAGTTTTCAACTCCAGGCCTCAGGGTGTCTCTCTCTTGCCTTTCCAATCACTACCTCCATTTCCCAATAAATGGAGCTCCTTCTCCTCTCTTCTCTACAATTTCTCTTTTTCTGATGGCTTGGAATTTGTGTTTTGCCTGGGAAATGCCTCACCTTCACAGGATATTTGTTCTTCTACTCCCTATCCTCTTTCCATCATAGTTTTAGATCAGACCTTACTCTCTTCAGGCTTCTAGTCAGTTCTGTTCCATCATGAGCCCCCTGTCCCTCTGCCTGTTGTCCAGTTTGTCAGCTTTAAGCCTACAAAGCAGGATCAATTACTCATATTTCCTACTTTCTTCCCTCAAATCCCTCTAGCAGCTCAGCTGCCATCCCACCACTCTGCGTCTCTTCCTCTCTTTCTGTCTTACCCCTCCCCACATGCTGACGTGGCCAGTGGATTGTCTATACCGCCAGGTCCAGGCCTTGCACTCCATTCCCTGCAGTCTCTTCTTCCCTTGATGTAGCTTCCAAAATGGATTTCTACTTTTTGCTACTTTGATTTACCCAGTCCCTTCCTGCTTCTTCTTGCTTCCGAGAATCAGTCTCAATTCTATAAGCCATTTTTGGAGAGCTCATTACATGCCAGGCACTGGCTGTTCTAAGCCTGAGAGATCAAGTGTAGCCACAGGCCCTGTACTCAGCATGTTCCTCAGCTGAGGCCTTCCTTGGCACCACTTTTCTGCCATGCCTCATGATACTGTCACGAAGGCACCCTCATACAGGAAACTTTGGAGGTGTGTGTCCACATGCCATCCAGCCCAACTGCTCGGTGCCTGCCAGATTTCTAGCTGTTGTCTGACTTGGTTCCCTCTGATGGACTGTGAATTTCTCTCTGATGGACCTTTGTTTGTATCCTTAGCGGTTTCCAATATGTCCTTTCATTCTCAGCTCTTCTCTTGATCAAAAAGCTGCAGCAAAGCTGGGGGGACACCAGATAGCTTTAGAGGAAGTCACAGAGCCATGCGTGAGCCCCTTCACTGCCACTCCCAAAAACATAAACCTTGAGATGCCACAAGTTTGGCTTCCCCATTTCCCTCTTGGTGTCCTGGCTTCCAGATGTCCCTCCCAAGTTAGCTGCTCTTAATCCAACCTGGAAATGGGGGAAGCAGAGTGCTGATCAGGACCGGGCCTAGGGTAAGGTGGGTAAAGGCCTAGGAAGCAAATTTAATGAGGCCTTCCATCTCAGGGTCATTCAAGTGAAGATGCCACTCTTGGGATACCCTTAAAGTGGTAAGCCTGAGTCCAGAGACTGTGATGGTGGCGAATGTGACTTGACCCCCTAGGCAAATTTACAGTAATTGGAGATGGGGGCGCTAGAAGAGGCATGCACAGATGAGGTTAAGCAGGAGCTGGGTCCACCAGACATACTTTTGTGGATAAAGAGGATGGGCACATGGCAGAGGGTATCAAAAGAATAAGGTAAGAGAAAAAAAGTGTGGGAGAAAACATGGGGAGCTGGCATGAAACTGCCAGCCTCTGATCCACTGACACCGCCTTCCACCTGTGGAGCTTCATGGAGTGTGGGGAAGAGGGGAAGGAACTCCTCTGCAGGCCTTGAGTACAACCCAAAGGCTTTGCTCTTCCTCCATGCGAGTTGCCTAAATGGAGCTTGGAGCCTACGTTTGGGGATGATCCACCTGTGCAGCTTCCTGAACATGAACACCAGCCTGGCTGTTCTGGCACCTACCTTGGTGCTTCATGTTTCCCTGTTCTCATGTGTTCACTCTTAGTTCCCCCAGTCACCTGAAGTAATACTCTTGACAAATCTGGTCTTTCTCTTAACCAAAAAGGAGGCGGCGGCAAAGAGCTGACAAAAGGGGGAAAAGAAACACAGCTGTGATTGTTCACTGAGGCCCCTGTTCTCTCTGCCATCTCCAGTTGGTGTCTATTGAAATCCTGACCTCCTCTCCTTACTCCTTTCTATCAGTGCTTTTCCCAGCCTCATCCAAGGCCTCATGCTGACACCCCCTCAGTCTTTGGTTTCTCTCTTTCAAATCCTTTGGCTTTTTCTCTTTTTAAAGCTTCCTTTCTGACATGGTGCCCCTATATTAATTTCCCAGAATGTCTTCCTGTCCTTCTAGACATTTAGGTTGTAGGTGGAGTTATCTCCAGCCCAACCACAAAGCCTTGTCTCCACAGGGCTCCCCAGAAATAGGGGATAGGAGAGAACTACTGTTTTGAGACCACTGACACATGGAGATGTTTGCATGCTCTGAAAACAGAGCCTGCAATGTGTTGGAGAACACCATCCACCACAAGAAAGCTCAAATTTTTAAAACACTCAATGTGGGCATAAATTCTAACTCCTGACTCTACCTACATAGAAAAGATGTCTTGGAGAGTTACTGAGTAGATGGTGAGGCCCCATTCGGCATGTAGACAAGAGAGCACAGTTAAAAGTCAATTTCCAAAGTGCACATTTTCCAAACATTAAGCTTTTTCACTTAAGATCTAAGGGACTGAGGTGAAAATGAAACAATGCATGCAAAAGTACAAACCACATTATAAATGAAAAAGCTGCAACTGACAATTATGTGGAATTTTTTACCTTCTTTTACATGATTCTGAAAACAAATACCAAAAAAAAAAAGAGATAGTAAAGAGTCTCATTTCTCTATATCCTCTACAGTTCCCATCACCTTCCCGTCTCCATACAGAACCAGTTAATTTTTGTGTATCTTTCCAGAGTTTTATACAATTACAAAGACATATATTTTCCTTCATTTTACACAAAAGGTAGTATGGTATACTTCCTTATCCGGAATTGTTTTTTCACTTATCTTTGGGAGCTTGTCATAATACGTAGAGACTCTCCTCCTTTTTACAGCTGCATGCAGTTTCACTATACAGAAGCTTGTTTAACCAGTCCCCTAGTTATATTTAGATTATTTCCTTTTTTGCTACTGCAGTGCTGCACTGAATACCTTGGACATAAATCTTTTCATAAATGTACTTACATCTGAAAGATAAAGTGGTTCTGCTGGGTCAAAGGATATTTGGATTTGTAATTGTGAAAGACAAATTCCTGCCATTTACACTTTCACTAGCATTGTGTGTGAGTGTCTGATCTCCCACAACCTCACTGATGGAGTAGGTTCTCAAAACCTTTGATTTTAAAAAATGTTATCTTACTGTTTTAGTGTGCATCTCTCTTATGAGTAAAATTGTACCTTCTCCATATTTTTAAGGGCCATTTGCATTCCTGTTAACAGTTTTATCAACAACCATTGAATATCTGATGCTAGAGGGCATCTGAACTTTGTTACAAATCTAAAGTCCAACAATTTTCTGATCATCGCACTAGGCAGTTGAGATCAAAGGAGAGCAAAGAATTGAGGTCGGAGATGTTCCATTTGCTCTGACTAAAGTTAAATACCCAAATATGCCACTAGAATGTGAGCAGTGAAAAGTGGGGATTATGCTTTATCCATTTTCAGCAAAGTGCCCAGAATCTTGCAGGCATTTCATCATTAATGAATACTGGGGATAAGATGAACTATTCTTGGGAATTCCTTTCAGAGAAGTACCCAGCTAGCATTACAAACTAGATAATGTGGATAGCTAATGAGCTAAAGTCATTTCCTGTATTTTACTGGAGTATAGCCACCTTAAAATTTACCAATGAAAAATAACCTGAAATGACCATATATAGCTACATATGGTCAGGGTCTGACACTTAATACATTTGTCAAATTTACTGACCAGAATGACTGGAACTTTGCTTAAATGAAGAAATCATCATAATGTAAATAGAACTGTGATGATTCTTAGGAAATCTAAAAAAAAAAAATTGGCAGTATCCTTCTCATCCCATTTTAGGAGAAAAGGTTTCTAGTTCTTGACCATCTGATTCTTTAGGTAAAAACCTCCCAGGACTATAACGGGGCAATACATCTGGCTATCATAAGGACATCTGATTAACTTTGCTCTAACTGTGTTCAACAAAGTTTCCCACTACCTTTTTTTCAGATGGCTCCCTCGTCTCTGATTCTGGTTGCTTCATTCTATTCACAGACAATTCAAGTGCACAGTAAATCTAATTATAGCAGGGGGAAATTTCAAAGTTCAGATCATCTATAGATGAGACACAACAGCAAACATTTTGCTATTAGCTTTGCATAGGTTTAAAGCAGTGATTCTCATTTAAGGGTGTGAGAAGGTGAATATTAGCATCACTTAAGCTTTCTTTCCCTCCTTTCCTCCCTTCTTCCCTCCTTCCATCCTCCCTTCCTTTTCTTTCTGTGTGTAAATACACATACCTGCTCCCCCCTTGTAGAAGATACCACACTCTCTGAAAAGCTTGGTCAGATACACTGAAAAAGCTCCCCACCTTGTTCAAACACATTTCCACCTCCCACCATCACTCTCACCTCTTTACAAGAATGAAAGCACCTTCCCAGTGTCTCCCTTCTTCCTATTCCTTTGGATTCAGCTGGAAACAGAAAGTCATTTCCTTGAATCAACTACTCTGATGTTTTTACTTCTCTAGGAACCATTTCTGTGTTCTGTCTTGTCCTATGGCATTAGAATTATTCCCATTCTGTTCTTAATCTCTACATTCGGAGCTAAAAGAAATCATACATTTGCTCTATATTTGGCATATGATGCTCAATACATGTTTTTTAAGAAAAGTAAAAGATCTAGCTATTCATTACCTGGTCTTCTCATCTTATATTTCTGATATTCATCCTATAAATATTCATAATTTCCTCTCGTTAGTACTTTCCCCGTTGATAATTCCCTCACTGCATTTTGTCAAAGCCGACATCATGATACTTTAAGTCCTTATTTTACTAACACTTAAAAGCCCCTAAAACCATCCTAGCCCAATTCCAAACTTTTTTTAGAGAAGGAAACCAAGACTATGAACAGTTAAGTAACAACTCAGCCAAGGTCAGAATGTGGAACTTTGACTAGAATCCTGGTCTCATTAAGTGCTGATCCAGTAGAGTTTTCTGTCATAGCTCATTATCACATCATCACAAAGTATTTATACTTATTTAACTCTCATTAAAGAGCACCTACCCTGTGCCAAGCCCTGTGCTAGATGCTTTCACACACACCCATTTAGCTAAAGATTAACATAATAAGAAAGTTTTAAAATTAAAATAATATCAAGTCAGGTAAAAACTACAAACCCATTACAATCCACTTGGGGAGAAGGGCCTTTTTCCCTAAAGGAATTTCAGTTAAGAACATTTTGGGTCAGTGGAACCACTCATCCTATAAAGGTTGCCTACTCTTCTCTTGTCCCAATGATGCCCCCTACTTCTCTCTTTACATGCCCTTCGCCCCAAAACTGAATTTGGATCTGACCGGGTGTCTAACATTAATCCCCTCAAGGGGCTGCTTTTCTTCTACCTGTTTTCTTTCTTCCTTCTGAAAGGCATTGGCCTGGGGCCTGAGGCAGGAGCAGAATCACCACATCTTTTTGTCCCCTCACCCCTTCTGCCCCGCATATAGATCTCACCTCAACACCCGCCCTTGCCCTTACCCTTCCAGGTGCGGCAAAGACAAAACGGACACGATATAGTGGAAAGGTCTTGTATATAGTTTTGTCCACTTCAGTGTGTGAGAGCTGCTCTGATCAGAGCCTACAGGAAAGGCATCTGTGCCCGGAGGAAGGGCAATTGCTCCCACCCTACAGGTACCCGGCTGCATTCCGAGCACTTTCACATTTCATGGAAGTCTTTGTGCGGGCAGCCCTTGGCTCATGAGTCTTCCCCTGACTGCTAGAATTGCGGTCAGTCTTCACCAAGGTTGTCTTCTGGAGGGTGCGTTTTACCGGCTTCTCCTGGTCTTGCTGCTTCTCTTCCCTGGGCTTCAAGCCTGGCCTCCTCCTCTCTTCTCGGGTCCTAGGCCTGTTGTCTTCCTTCAGGGTCCGTCCTTTCCTCTCCTCCATCACCTTAGCCCTCGCTTCCTCCCTGGCTCTGGAACGCACCGAGTCCTTGGCTCTTGCCCTTATCTTCCTCGCGTTTGCCCTGGTGCTCCTGGTGCTCCGTCTCCATACCTCCCTGGCCTTCTTGGCCGCCCTGCGATGCGTGCTGCGCCTCCGTGGGCTCCGCGGCCCCGGAAGGCTCCTCCTCGAAGAGCGCGCGCCCTCCGCCACCCTCGGGCGTCCTGGCTTTCTCTTGGGCTTCGGAGTCTTCCAGACCCTGAAGTAGCCCGAGGCGTCCCTGCCGCTGACCCGCAGAAGCGTGCCCTTCACATCAGACTTGGGTGCTTCGCCCGAGGGGCGGCAGCACTTCCTGCGCACTTCGTAGCCAGCATTTCCAAACTCCTTCTTGAGGGCGGCGAGGGTCAGCCCTTTGTGCGCAGTGATGGCTCGGAGCAGCAGCTGGGAGACTTTGAGCACCGAGCGCGGGCCCCTCCTGGGCGGTGGCGTCAGGGTTTTTTCGGCGCCCAGCTGGGTTTTAACTTCAATGGCTTTGGGATCACCAGTGGGCCCAGCCACCTCAGCCATGGCCCCGCTCCCGCCTCTGCGGGGCCGCTGCTGTGGGCTTCCCACGCCGCGGCGCGAGCTAAAGCTGAGGCTGGCTGCGGATGTCACAATGGCAGGCCTGACTTTCCGGTCCTGGCTAGGGAGCTGCCGCCAGACCCCACCCAGGTGGGGGGGCCGGTCAGGCTCCACTTCCTTCTAGGTCTAAACCAATCCAGATCGCGCGTCTGTGCACCCCCCAAAAATCACCTTTATCATCTCCGGGGTTTGTTCCCTGCCCTTGTTATGCTCCCACTTCTCATGACCTTGATCTTAACCACTTTCTGAAGTTCACTGTTTTTCTGTGGTCCTGAACACCATCTACCCACATTTCCCTAAAGTGAAAGGAGCTGCTCCCAACTATCTAAAACAGGTAATACATTGCCTTTAAAAAATAAATGTGGTAGTCTATCACACAAAACCTGATCTAGAAACTCCCACCTTTAGGTCTCACCGGCTAGAGATCTGGTCACGTCTCCCTGACTCTCCACATGGTGGATTCTGTGCAAGAATATGAAGGAAAGAAAGAACCACTGTGCTCCCTCTACCCTAAACAATGATTCCCACACTTGGGAAATTCAGATGCCTCATTTAGGTGGATAGATACCAACCAGTTTCCAAACAGACTAAGAACTCTGGTCTAATCATTATTCTTTGACCAGACTTTGCTTTTCTGCCTCTTGTTCCTCCTCTTGGATTGCTCACTCCCTTTCTTTGTTCAGATATATCCTGCTTATCTTTCAAAGACCTGCTAAATCCTTTCCTTACTGAAGCCTCAACTCTTTCCAATGATTTCTCTCCTCTTAACTACCACATTAAACTTTTGCAATCCTACACTGCATTTTACTTAATTTAAATGAATTTGGTACTAGAGGGTATAATGCAGCACACTAGTTTTAAAAAGAAAACAGCCTGGACTTAGAGCTGGAGACATGGACACATATCTCAGCTCATTAACAGCCATATGGCATTGATAAACCCCTCCATATCTTTAGATCTGACTTCTTTATCTTAAAAAAAGGCCAATAATCCCTTCCTACCAACATCAGAGAATTATTCGAGAGGTTCATTAGAGGTGATGACAGATGACAAAGGATTACCCAAATATAAGGCATAAAATTAATTTTATTCTGAATGTTTAAGCCTTTCCAACTAAATAAAGTTTCCAGAGAGCCAAATAGCCTTTGGATTTCTATGGCCCCTGCTGCATCTAACACTATCCTTCATTATACCCAGCAGGCATTTAATAGAGTCTGTGTAAGCTCCTCTGGTAAGGAGGCTTTCTCTGGATTCAAAGGAAACTCCCAGGGAATCAGGAGAAAGGAGCAGGATGATTCTTAAAGAGCTGAAATGAAGGGGACCAAGGTAGCTAGTTACTCAAGGACTTCTTATTTTGGACACAGTCTAGTTGGGAATTATTCAAAGAATACTTCAAATTGCAAAAGCATATCATACTTCTCCAAAGGACATTCGATATACTCAGCAGTCACAGGCTGAACTATGACATCATTTCTTCTAGGAATCAAAGTGCTAGGAAGTGGCTTAGGCCAGTACTTCTTAAACTTTAGTGTACTTCATAAAATACTGATTCCAGTACATTAGGTCTGGGGTGGGGCCAGAGGTTTTACCTTTCCAACAAGCTCCTCGGTAGTTCCATATGATTAAAACACAACTGTTGGGGAGTGAGGAGTAGACAATGAGAGGGAAGTGGCAGGAGATTAGACTGGAAAAGTAGATTAGGGCCAAGGTGTGAAGGACATGTAACATAGTGACACAGTTGTAAGTAGTCCCATAGCAGTAAATGGTAGAGCGTGGGTTCATACCTAAGTCTACTTAATTCTAAGGACTAAATTATTAACTATGGAGCTAGGTTTCCTTTTCTCCAAGATTGACCTTTATGTGTCTCCACCACAGAGCAAGAAGAAGTTTATCTTCTCAATCACAGTTCAGAATCAGAAGGATCTACAAGCACTCACTGTACTTTCTCCCAGTATTTAAATTAGAGCAAGGTACTGTGTTAGTCCAAGAGACTAACACATCAGCACAGGGACAGTGCACCAACGAAGAGCTACCAGGCAGAAAGATAGAACCACATGGACCAGGTTTTCTCTCATTTGTGTAGTCTCTTGGTCTGGCTATACTTCCTGGTTGTGTAGGCCACTAGCTGTAGGATGGGACAACCATCATGAAAAAAAAACAAGAACCGCATCAGGGGCACTGGGTGGCTCAGTCAGTTAGGCATCTGACTTTTGATTTTGGCTCAGGTCATGATCTCAGGGTTGTGAGACTAAGAATCAAGCCCCTGAATCAAGCCCCACATCAAGCCCTACGTCAAACTGGGTATGTAGCCTGCTTAAGATTCTTTCTCTCCCTCTCTCTCTACCCGGCCTCCCCATGTCTGGAAAAAAAAAAAAGAACCAAATCAAACAACCATGTTTATTGATACCCTTGTGATGACAAAAGAGGACAATTAGAAGCCTCTGGGAAAGGCTGATGTCAAAGGAAAAGAAATATTTGTGGGGAAAAAAACAACATGGCAAACAAAACAAAAAATTTTCATTTATGCATAACCATTTCTTTATACATTTCTGTGTAAATATACTATAAGTAATGGAAGAATAACAAAAATGAGAGGTAAGAAACAAAATGCTTCACTACCACTAAGCTGGCTCAGAAGACAAAAAAGCCAACTACCTGATAGAAACTTTCTGCTGCACCAATCCCTCAGAGTTCTTTTGTTCCCCTTTGGAATAAATCTACTTGCCAGACCTCTTCTGACACCCCAAAGGAAAAAGATACTTCAGAAAAAACAATTTCTTTAGGAAAAGAGTCAGAACAAGCCAGTGTCATACCTCTAATCAGGAGATACCAACTCCAGCTCCAGAAAGACAAGACTGAACCATCCCTTCCAATTTTAATCATCTATGATTATAAAACAGAAGTAAGCACCTAGCTCTACCCTGTTGTGAGAAAGATCAATTGCTCTTAATTTCTGGAAGCCTTGGGGTTAAGGGAGGGGGCAGAAGAGGTAAAAGGATACTTGGTGATAACGTTTAGCCTAAATCTTTCTGCTTCAAGTTCCAGGAAAGATCATATTATTTTTTTTAAGATTTTATTTATTTTATTCATAAGAGATATATATAGAGAGAGACAGAGGCATAGGCAAAGGGAGAAGCAGGCTCCCCATGGGGAGCCCAATGTGGAACTGGACCCTGGGACTCCAGGATCACGCCCTGAGCTGGAGGCAGATGCTGAACCACTGAGCCACCCAGGCATCTCAAGATCATATTATTCTTTGTTGGTAACAAGACTCTTCTGTGGTGGTCATGACTGTTAGGTCTCCAGAGGAACTTGGTTGATTTAGGCATAGCAACCTTTAATTACTATACAAAATTCTAAGAACGTCAGAGGTTTTATTAATCTCACTTCCTCACATAGAGTTATGCAGCTCTAACTTCATTAAGGATAACTCCATGCAAGAGTACAGCAAAATTTAGTAGCACACTTTGATCTAACTTCAAACTATACCCAGGACCCCAAGTTTCTAGGTCTTGCTTACTCAATTACCTTGTATTTGATCAATTTATCTTTCTCAAAACCAAATGATATAAACCTATTCTACAATCTATTACAACTCTCTGACTTAACCTTAAACTGCTAATTGGTTTTCCCCCAAAAGACTCTTTTCCTCTCCTGAACCACTATATACCTTCCACTTTAATGCAAATAACCCCACAATGGTCATTTCAGCAAACAAACCCACTAGTCTACTCATGGCTTTTGTGAGAACTAAAGTGGTTTACACTAAAGAATGTGAAAATAAAAATAACAAGATTTCATAAAAGTATGGAGACAGAATAGCAATTGGGCATTTATCTTTCTAATCCTCAACACAATTGTTCTAGAAGTGAGTCTAGAGAATCTAGATCCAGGTGATGTTACTGGAGGATCAGGCAAATCTCTCAGCAATTATCCTGAAAACATGAAGGTCCAGTCTCCCTGACTCCTCCCAAGAAGCTCTAAAAACCCAGTGTAACACACCCCTCCTCACAAATATAAAATCTATACTCATCCCTCCAAAAATGACAAGAAATAAGGGCTTTGGTATTGGCAAAATCTTACCCAAGTACCTTTTTTCCACTCAAAGTTGTCCTATATGAATTAAATCCCTCATAAATTAAATCAAGCATTATTAATAGTTAAGTCTTTCCATGAGCCCACGATGTGGGACCTCTAAGAACCATTCTACTATAGCACTTAAATATGAAAACTGAAAACCCATTTCTCTGGGGATTTTTACTTTCAATATGAGGCTCAGGGCATTCCAAGACAGACAATCTGCAGTCCCACAATAACACTACATTCTAGGCAACATTCAATTCTGTCATAGTTAACTGCTCCCAGCCATCCATGCCCTTGTCAATTCCCAGAATATTGTACAAATGAACCCAAAGCATAAACACACACACACATACACACACACACACACAAACACAAAATGGTAGAGTAGAAATCATTTACCATATATATGTAACTCTTGTAGTCAGAGAATTGAAATATCCCAGACCTACAACTCACTACAGAGAAGCTTATTTCTATCTTAATCTCTACAGATCTAAAATACCAGAAAATCCAAATTCACTAATTAAAAATTGCTTTCCTTCAAATTAAATGGTGTAAATAAATGTCCATGCTCAGGAATATGAACAAGAGCAAGCCTAATTTGCATTCTCAATTCACAATACACATTCTGGAATTATACTGCATAACTTTCCCCATTTTTTCCTTCAAAACTGCAGTCCTAAATATTTCATTTCAAACACATTTACCTCCCCATTTCCTGTTAAAAATCACATCTAATTTTCTATCTTAAACCTACTCTTCTCTCTCGGCTTTTTCTCAGCCTTTGATCCTTTAGGGAAAAAGAGCTACTATTTACTTATGAAGGCCAATGGATCAAGTATTGTGTTTAAATTATCACTAATTCTTTCAACAACACTGAAAAGTGGATAATATTATTCACATTTACAGATGAGAAGGTAAATGGTGTACCAAAGGAGAAGCCTGGAATGAGAATTCTCTATACCTTACAGGTAAACCCAAAAAGG